ATACCAGGTGGTGCAAATTCGAAACGTCGTCTCAGAACCATCCCCTATTACCAGTGGAGTACTTCAAGGCACTATCCTAGACCCCCTTCTATTTCTTATATATATTCACGACTTATCGTCCATATCTGTCTCAGCTAAGACGTTTTTATATGCGGACGACCTTAAAATTGCATACGCATATAACGGGAATACAGTAGCCAATATTCATAGAACAATTGAAACTGATCTCAGAAAACTCAGCGAATGGAGTAGTCAGTGGCAGATGCCCTTTTCACCCGAAAAATGCCATCTCCTGATATTTGGCCCACAAAAACTTCCCCCCATAATATTCGAGGATTATGAAATAGCAGAGGCCCAGTCGGTAAAAGATTTAGGTCTCAGCTATACAAATACCCTTGATTTATCTCCCCACGCCCAACAAATATCACCGAAAGCCACTCGCCTGTGTGGATTCACATGTAACAATTTCACCTTAAATGCACTAAGAATACAACTCTTCAAAATGTATGTTTTACCTCTCCTAGATTACTGTTCAATTTTCTTCGGCATAATGCCCTCAGACGGCCGAAAGAAACTAGAAGGCATTCAGAGACGTTTTACTAGATCTTTGTCTAGAAGTGATGGCATCCAGGGTTCATACTTAGAACTATATCATCAGCTATGTCACCTGACAGTAAATATCCCTTATAAAGCTAATAAAAATATACCCTTCGATAAAACTCTGCATATTAGTCGTGCGTATGTCTATATTAAGGCCATATTAAACATATATAGAACTATATTAGGTCATAGTAAACAGTCGACCACTACTCCTATAATTTCACATTAGCAAGAACAATATGATACATGATTCAATAGTATTTTGTAAATGGACTTTTACAAGTTTTCTCTGTCCATCTGTGAGACAAAATTATCAGTCGTTCAGGCGTCGCGGGTTGCACAGTTATTCATCTTTCCAATTAGTTTAGCCACGCCATAAAAACCAACTGACGCATGCTGGAGGGAAGAACAGCTAGCCTATTAGTGGCGGAAGGTTGAATGAAATGGCGATTCTGGAGCTAAAATATCCTAGCAACTCTGCACACTGACGTAAACACATAACTGTTGTCCAAGTGCGCATAAACGTAGATTCTCAGTGCACTTCTGTCTTCTCAGCCGTCCGTTAGTTCTTTCTCCGCCACCGTCTCCTGTTTTCTGTTTGTTTTTTTTAGCTCTTGTCCCATTCTTACCCCCACCTTTTTCCTTCTCCGCATATTAATATCTTACTCATCCGCTTGGCTCCTTCTCCACTTACTTTTCCTGTCGTCTTTTTACTAACTCGCCTACCTCCTCTTTTTCCATCCCACTCGACGTTCTCTCTCCTCGTCGCCAACGCTTTTGCACCCTCTCTTTTCCGTCTCCTGCCTCTTCTCTTTCCTTTCTCTCCTCCCTTACGTCTTCCTTTGGTTCCTCTTTTTACTTCCTCTTCCACCTCATCTCCGTCCTTTTACTACCCCTCTC